TGGAGATTTTCTGATAACATTCTGTTAGTGTCTTAGATGAATGAATATAAATGAAGGATATGACACTTTTTGTCACAGATACCTTTTCCCTCTCAGCTAAACAAATATACTTCTTTCAGCACCACTATACTGGCAAGTTCATATTTAACATTGAAGTCTACTTCATTTTCAGCACCTGGTCTTTACTTCCCTCATGTCACATCCCATCTGGTTTGTACAATTCAACAAGGGCACATTCTTTTAATTGACAGACCAATTGTTAAACTCACAGTTTGCTTACCTTGTAATCAGGACATAATTTATTTTCACATTTGGCAATTTGATCGTATCATTTGTGTTTTTACTGCCTTTCATTCTCCCACTTGTTATTGAAACTCAATAGAGGAAATGAGGGCTTCTGTTCACAGCTAGAAATGAAGCAGTTTGGTATTAAACCACAGCAGGACCCAGGTTTGAACATGATACTTCAGCCCAATTTATTTTAAACTGCATAGATTTAAAAGAATGCACATCAATGTCAAAAAACGTCCTCACCCTTACCTTTAGGTTCACGATGCAAACATTTCAGTCTTCACTCTTCCACCATTTGCCATTAATCATTCTTGCTCAAGGATAGACATTTTGAATGCTTCATCATTACCTTGATGAGAGATACTGGAATAAGACCTGTGACGAAACGTATAATTAAATGTTAAGAAATAAAGTTAAGGAAAATCTGAAAAGGTGGAGATCCTTTTTGACAAACTAATTTTAGAAATGCAGTAGTAATTATTTTCCCTCGAGCTGCCTGCTTAAAAAGTACCGAGGTAGGAGAGATGATTTAAGAGTGGGGTGGGAACTTTATCATCACTGATTCATACAATGGCAGCTCAGGAAAATGAGATATGTACCAAGATGCAATTCAGCCTTCTTGAAATTAACCTGCAGACTGCATTAGGCAAATTTGATCGTATTAGAGATTTTCCAATTTGTCAAGTAACAATTTCTCTTTTGTGTTTTGTCAGGAGTCCAGTTTGCACCATCATAGTAATTTCAATTGCCTTGATAAATTAAGCTTGAGGTTAAAGAATAACGTTATAGATAGCTCTTATAATATAAAATATAAAAAAAGCTATTAGCCAAATGATTAATAAAAACACCTTTTGAAAGAATCAAGCTCTTTAAAATTAGATACCAATCCCTCGCTTTTTTGAAGAGACAAGAAATTAAAGGATGCTTCAGAAAATGATGGGACAGTCTTAATTCTACTTATTAAACAATATTGATTAGAACGTGTTTCAAGGTTATTGGGAATAAGCTACCAGGCAGCTCAGAACCTGCCTCACAGGCAGAAAGTTGGAATCCTTCAGGGAACTATTGGCAACTTTCTCTTTGGCTCTTTCATACTCATTCTTCCTTTCACCATGTTTCTTTCTTACACACACACACTCATCTTCTCTGTCTCATCCTCCACTCACTCTCTTTCTTTCTTTCTTTCAAATTAATGGAATGAAACTCTTCCAAGATTTGTCAGAGGAATGTGAGTCTCCCCACTAAATTTTCCTTTCCAAGAGGGTAAAGGAGAAAGTCTAATCCTGTCTGACCTGGATTGCCCTCTTTTGTAATTTCTCGCTGTTGGCATAAGGAAAGAAGAAGCATGAGTAACCGAACAAATCCATTTGTGAATCGGTGTTTTGGTACACTATATGTGGATGGATAGCAGCACTGCAAAGCTCTATTCATCTAATTCCCCTAAGCTGCAATTTATTCATCAGTAAACCTTACTGAGTAGCTCAAAATGTTCATTTAAAGTACCTCCATTTAAACGATTTGAAAATAAAATTCAGAAAAAAAAATTGTCTGATATAACTTGGGAAAGCTGTACCAGTCACGGAGTGGGTACTGTGCAGATGCACAGGAATAATTTCAGGGCTTAATGGGTTAATTATGTGAACATGTTTCACAATGCTGGCATGTATTTCTTTGGATCATGCCAACCTGTGGTCTACTGAAAGTGGTGAACATAATAAGCAAATAAGGAGAGCAAGAGGCACAATCTTAAAATTAGAAATAGGCTATTTAGGAGTAAAATCAGGAAACATTTTCACATCAAGTGCAGCGAATGTCCAGAGCTCACCATTTAAGAGCGTGCAGTTACTGCATAAATGAACTGCAGAGAGACGGATATGTGAGAAACAGTAAAGAAAATAACTTTAAAAATCCCAAGTACTTGCTCATGAAGAATTCTGCAGATGATACCAAAACTCTTCACTAGCTGCATCAACATCAGCCTTTAGAATTCAGTGGTATGATTTTCTTTGAGGGATCACATAAACCAGCTACCAACTCACTATCACCCAGTTTGTGCTATCATGAAAGTTGTATTTCTTTCACCCTTAAGTTCACAATCGGAAAACCCTTTCTTCATTTGTATTGCATGAGCAATTCATGCGGTATTGCTAGATTGGATTTATTGTGAATGACAATATTTGACTCTCGCTGAACCCTGTGAAGTCAACTTCTGAAATTGGTAACTGAAGTTGGCAGGGCTCAATTCAAGACGTCAGTAGTCCTGTTGAACTGCTCTTGATAGAGTAACCTAACGATTCCAAGCGAGCAAGTTAGAAGTTCCAGTAAATGAAAGGAAATCAATTTAAAATATCAAAAGCTGATTGAAGTACTTTCAAGGCTTTTTTTTCAAAGTATCACTTGTTTTTCAAAGTGTATCAAAGTCATGACCTTCATTAAAAAAAAAGTTACCCTCTGAATCATGCCATTACAAACTCAGAAATCTATAATTCCAGTGTGTTAGCAAATAAATCCATGGCTGGATGCAGTATTAAGCCTGACTGATGAGAAAGGTTCAGCTTCTGTTGTGTGTTTGCTGTTCTCAGTTGAGGTGGAAGTAAAGGAAGTGTAAACGATTGGAGCCCTAGGTTAGGTTGGATGAAATCAGCTATAGTTCCTAATCCTGAAAGCTCTTCAGCAACCACTGTGAAAATGTGAAAAGCTGTGGGTATTGAATGAGGCCAGTGCTTGATAGAATTAGCTGTGATGGTCTCCTATATTTAGCATGGCGATGCTTATTTCATTTTTCATGGACAAAACCAAAGGTTTCTGTCATAAGTCACAAGGAAGTTTTGACAAAACTGTATGAAACATTGGTTGGCCTCAACTGGAGCACTGCATCCAATTCTGGAAGAATCTCACTTTAGGAAGGATGTTTTGAGATTAGAGAGAGCATGGTCAAGATTCACAAGAATGATTTTGGGGATGATAAATTTTAGTCATATAGCTAGATTGCATTAGTTGAGACTGTTCTTCTTGGACAAGAAAAGGTTGAGAGACGCTTTGCTAAAAGTATTCAAAATCAAAAGATGTCTGGATAGAGTAGAGAGAGAAACTCTTCCCACTGGTGGAAGGCTTGAGAACCCAAGGGCATAAATTTGAGATGATTATGACAAGAAGCAATTGCAACATGAGGAAAAATAATATCACACAGTGAATGGTTAGGATCTGGAATTAGCTGCCTGCCAAAATGGTGGAGACAGGGTCAATTGAAGGAATTGGATTAGTATCTGATAAGGATGAGTGTGTGGACGACTGGGCGAAGGCACAAGGCATGACACAAGGTGAATTGCTCCTTCAGAGAGCCAACACAGACATGACGGTCCTCCACATAACTATTCTGCGCTTCTGTGACATCCTTGAGAAAAGAAATATGGATTAACTGCAAACAAAAAGTAGAGAAAGGTCATTTTTGTGAAAACTGAAGATAATTCTGTCACTTGGTTCATGAATTCCTAATCTAAAAGTCAGAATGTGTAAAGAAGCATAGCACTTTTCAATGCAGCCAGATTATTGAACCATGTGTGTCTTTTTCTCTGGTCATCACTGTTGATTTTCATTCCCCACAGTGCCCTATTTCAAACTTTCATTTATCAATTCCCCCTTTGATTCAGAAATTCAATCCATTATTTTGAATTTAAGCCTCCCAAGTTTTTGCCCTTTAAAGACCAAAGGACAGTTTTAACTGTGGAGAGATCCACAAATTTATCTATGTGTACTTACATATTCAGGAAAGGAAAGCTGGTTCTTCCAAAACACTTAAAGCTGAAGGGAGATTGCCTCTTAGTTGCTTCAAGAAAGCAGAAAGCAGGAGTCCACGAGAGGTGGTACATGTTGCCATTAGCCGTAACGAAACACTTATGTTTGGAGCATCAAAGGTCAATACCCACTGTCACTTCCATTTAAAAGAAGAAAATTATCTTGATTTTCTCTGCCCAAGAAGATTAGTTTATTAAAAAGATCTCAAAAAGATTGTCTTTTTTCCCCTTCCTTTCTGTGTTTGATTATGAATTTAACTGCAGAGAAAATTGGATGTTATCTGCCATGTTTCTTTGTTGACATTTGATGCTGTCCAGTTTTAGGAGATTGTTAAGAAAACTGTTATGCAGTTTGAATGGAGGAAAGTGCTGGTCTTTGAGGAGGTTGGTGGAATTAGCATGCAGCTGGGTTCCTCTGATAAATGGATTCACTTAGGTCACCGAGGGGAATGGCGTGACATTAAGTGATTTACAGTCCTTTCTCTTTAATGAAATTGTTTTAGTGAGATGATGCTGAAAGCTTTTAATGGATAGCTTTCCTTGATGTAATGAAATTGTATTCCGTCGGCATTTAATATAAGGTGCAGTTATTATTTATTGGAGCTTTCTTGAGCTTCAGTTGCTTGCACCTAGTCTGAGGAAAGACAAACATTTTCAGGTGGATAATACAGGGACATAAATAAATATCAAACAGCAAAGTATTTAAGAGAGGACTGGTATGAGTGCATATGATGGTTTTTGCATGTGAGCAACAGGGGGAGAGAGAGGAAAAGATGAATAGAGATAAAGATGGAGCACCTATAAGAGCATTCATACAACAGGCTGGTTACAGAAAAGCCTTAAGGGAGGCTTTGTAGTACATAACACCGCTAATATTCTGCTTCTTTAAGTTTATCCCACTAATCTATTTAACAGGCAACTGGATTACAACCAGATCAGCTGCATTGAGGATGGAGCATTCAGGGCTCTGCGTGACCTGGAAGTACTGTGAGTACCTGCTTACATTTGTCCCTAAAGGGCAGTCCTTTGCACAGGGATTATCTGTGTATTAATTCCTCTAAAAGTTGCACTCCTTGCAGGAAAGAGAGACCTCTGTGTTAGCCTGTGAGCTAGCAAACAGTTGCACTGGATGTTACATCAGATTTTTTTTCTATGCATTGGAGTCTGCAAAGACATTTTCATCATTATTGGATCCCGGACCTGTGAGTATACGTGTGTACAAGATGGTACTGTCGTAGATTAAACCTGACAACTTGTTTTTAGTTGTGTATACAATCATGGGACTAGCTGGATCACTCACTGAAACTTCCATCACCTCTTAGAGGTGCAATGGAAATCTTTGCAAAAGTCTGATGCTAGTTCTAAAATAAGTATTAAATAAAGCCTCAGCTGGAGCACCTAACATCAGAGATAGTTTGCCGCAAACTGCTAAGAAGGTACGTAAAGGAAAAGGTTTGACCCCTTAATGCAGCATTTGTGTCCAGTCAGGAGAAAGGCAAAACCTAGGAGAATTTGGAGCACTTAGCACATTCTTGACATTTTTGGCCTTGGGACTCTATGCTTTACATTCTTCAGACATTTCTAGGTATGTCAGGCAGCCAGGAATGGGTTTCACTTTTAACAAACATTTTGATCACCAGATGTTCTTTTCAAAGGCTGGCTCCACCATGACAGAAAGAGAGGGAGTTACATCCTGAGTAACTGCTTAGATTTTTGGATCAACTTGATTCTTAGCTCCGTTTGTTTGGAAAGATTGAGACCAGTGCTTTGGTTTCAGTAGCCATTAAAGATTGCATCAATTACTGCTAAAGCTCTTGCTGTAGAGCAGAACAATGTTGTCAGGAAATTACACATATTAACTAACTCCAACTCACTTGGCTTTCAAGCAGCTGATTTACAGTTAAAATATCTGTTTCTTCTGATAGGGAGAGGGGTGGTGTGCATTCACTGTGGTTGTTAAAAGACTAGGATTTATTTTCAACAGGCTGATTTGAATGTAGTTGACATAATGTTACTGCTATAGATGGAACGTTCAAAAACTGTCTTATTTATTGCAATTGACATATTGTCCTTTTTAACCTGCAGCTAAGCTATCTATCTGGAAACAATTGGTTTCCATGATAACCAGTGAAAGAAACTGACATTAGTTTTCAATCTCTTATGTCAGCAAATTAACTATAAAATGGCAATTTTGTATTGTCCTTGAAGAAAACAATAACTAATTAATGTAGTCAAAAAACTGTAAACTGCATTGCATAAAAAACTCTTCACATTATACAGGTATGATTTTGTCATTCATATTCTATCTTGGTCTTATGATTTGCAAGCATTGTGCAAAAGTAGTGATTGTAGATGGATGAGGTCAACAGGTGACATAGCTTAGATGGAGCGAATGTTCAATGAGAGAGAGGCTGGATTATTTCTGACCTTCCAGGACTAATTCCACCTCTAGGTACATTTTCCTGAAGAAACTAGAAATAAAGCTACTTCAACTAAATGGCTGTTTATTGAGCTGTCCTTGAAGTTCTGATGAGCAGATACTGTCCAGGCAATGAGCAGATCCCTGATTTATCTTATTGAAATAAAAACACCAGGGTTGTTTATTGTGAGTGTAACAATGAATAAACCACCATCCAAAACTCTCATTGCGAGGTTTACAAGTAACTGTATTTCTGACAAGGAGACACATGGTAGTCATAATTGAAAAATAACGTTTAGGGAAAATAGCACTGATTTCCACCTATTACAAAGTAAATTGTGTGTCTTTTCTTAACATGCCTATAAACTGTGGAAAAAAAAAGGTGGATAACGCTGTATGTCCTCAGAAACTAACATTTCAATCCAGCTGGTTCATAGTTCAGTCAAGGAAGCATACATTGATTGAAAGGAAAGAGCTGCTATCAGCATTTCAAAGTGATATATAGTGGAACACACAAGGGTTGTCAGTGTTGGTTGCTCCCCTCTTCCCCCTTTTCAAAGCTCACATTTCCATTCTGTTATGAAGCATACAGCGTACAGAAGCATAATGATCTTACATCAAATACTCGGACTTCTCCACAGAAGAAGTGGTCTGTTTATAGTTCTTTGAACTTCCCACAGAAAGAGAATACATTTATTCCCTCACATCATTAGTCAGAGACTCGCAGCTACATCGACAGTAAAAAGCAATTAAAATTAAAAATGACGAGATTGATAATCTTGTGCTTTACTTTTTTGTTTTGCAGTACCCTTAACAATAACAACATTTCTCGACTCTCAGTGGCAAGCTTCAACCACATGCCTAGGCTTAGAACCTTGTAAGTAAAAAGGAAAAGAGTGATTGCTAAGAAATGTAAATTGTGTTATATTGCTGAACCACAATTAATGCAATATTATCTGAATTAGTGATATTTCAGTGAAGCAAAATGGTTAAATAATGACAAGATTCCAAACCTGAATTGAAATGCATAATTTGGAACTCTTTCCTTATGTTTCATATTCTTTGTAATTGCTTCTCAAAGGATATTTAGCATAACAGATGTAATGACATTGGTTAAGGGTAAATTAAAATTGTAGCAGATTACATGCCATACCAGAGAGACTTGCTTTCCCTTTTTTTTCTCGTTTTCACTTTTATAAAGACAAGCCATGTCGCAGCAGACCCATGTATTGGAATTGTCATAATCCAAAGTACAGTATCTAATTAAAAGTGGCTGCCTAACCAATAATCTCCTGAATGGAAAATTAGAATGCTGGATGACATTCTGAGTTTCAATATCCATTAGAGTATATTTTGTTAGGATTGAATACTTTGACTAAAAGGTTCGAATGAAATGACATTACACAGTCAATGCAGCATTCTAGACAGCATCGTGATTTATAGCTTTTGTCATCCTTTATTTTACTTTGAGGAACATAAAAGCCAGTCTAAAGTAATTTGCCTAATTTAGAGGATACATTTGTCTGATATTTTATTAATGGCAAGGTGCTTTTTGCTTGTTGGATGGGAGCCATGTTCTTGTGAAGGTCCTGTCAGGAAAAGTAGCTCATTTAATTCTCCTGCTCACTGCTATTTGCATCTTTTAATTTTAGAGATTGCATTGAGCAGAGGTCCCAAGGGGCCAAAACCTGTTAATCCTTTTTCTGTGATTAAACAAGAAAGGAGGAAATCTGAAAAAATGTATGAAAGGAGTGTTTTATATTGAGTTACTTTCTGTCTTGTTCAGCAGAAAATGAATGTCATCTACTAAAAGGATTTTGAAGACAGTTTTTATAGAGACTAATAATGGCAAGACTTATTGGTATTTTTAATTGGGAGCCAAAGCTTCTATTAGCATTAATTTTCTTGCTGACAGTACGCTATCGCTGTCGTGCAATTTGCTTTTTTTGTCGTTTGGTTGGACTTAGTCTTCTTAATTCTATAATTAAGTTTCTGGCTTTTAGGTGTTTGCTGAGCTTGTAATCCAGTCAAGGGGGATGCTTTGAATTGATTTTGTGACAACTGAGCTAACTTCTATTAATTCATTAATCTGTAGTTAAAAGGCTGCTGTAATACAAATGTTGCTTAGAAAAAAAATGTTGGAAGTATTGAAAATGGTCTTGCCCGAGAGCTTTATATTTACAGATGAGATTAATGGATTGATTCCTCATTTGCTCTCCTTATTACGCGAACCAGGATCTCTGAAATTGAGCTGCACGCTCTCTTCTTCATTCAACGTATTAACTTTGTTCCTTGCTTTTATATTCCAGCCGACTCCATTCAAACAACCTGTACTGCGACTGCCATTTAGCATGGCTTGCTGATTGGCTGCGACAGCGCCCTCGAGTTGGGCTGTACACTCAGTGCACCGGGCCTGGGCACCTGAGAGGCCATAATGTTGCAGAAGTACAAAAGAAGGAGTTCATTTGCTCTGGTAAGTGGAGAATGAGGAAATATATACAAAAGATTGATAAAAGCACATATATGTATTACGCTAAATTGTTAAAAAGAAGTCTGCTTTTTTAAGTAAAGTTGCCTCTGTGGAAAAATTAGGTGCACAAAAACGGTAGAAGCGTTAAGGCTTGAATTACATAAATGCTCCATAAATGCTCCGCAAAACCATTTGAGTTTTTCCTTTGCAGTCTTGAGTTTGAAATCATTAAGCTATTTATTTTAAATGAGTTGGTAACATATGCATGCTTTCTGTCATTCCTGATTGCTACTCGACTTTAAAAAATGGTAAGTTAAATGAATGTAGTTATAATAGGATATATAGTTCTAACCTATTCACTATTAAATCAATTTTTACAACCTAATGCCTGAGGAGCTGAGATGTTGTCGAATATTTCAATAGCTGTCATTGCCACTTGTTTATAATTGTTTTTCTTCATAGTATTTTCTTGAAATAGTAGTACTAGAGATACTGGGTAGACAATTGCAGTGATGTCTCTTGGTGTGAAGCCTGTTGGTAAAATCGTGTTGCTTTTCACTTCTAAGATCTTTGTGTCTCTACCTGGTGGAGATGTAAGAGAAAAGGGGTCTGAATTATAGTTGCAATCCTTTCACTTCACTAATAGATCAGGAGAGATTAGCAGGTAACACTCCGGGTGATGTTACAAATGATTCTTCTGCAAATTAATTAGACTTTGTCTTCATTCAGGCAACTAAATGTGAAATCCTTTTTTTTAACCTTCCTTGCACAGACTCACAGAGCAATATTCCTGTGAGCGACCATCTCACACACCAGATTCTTTTCCTTTTTTTAAATTTAGCCTAAAGATACTTTGTCATTAGCACTTCTAAGGTCAAATATTGAGTTTGAAACCACCATGAAACCTTTGTCATTCTTTAGCAATTTTAAAAGAACTGAGTACATTCTATTAATCTCAATGCGTTTTTATCATTTTTTCATGCTTACCAGATGACGACAAAGGCAAGTTTACTTTTCTTTTTGTATTTTGCTTATTGTTTGATGTTGGTAGCATTGCTGTATGGTAAGAATTTCTGTCTGATATCTAGAGTTCTGTCCTGTTGTAGAGTACTTTTGAAAAATTTCTTTGGTTCAATTTTAAGTCTTGATGTGCCAAATAATTAGGTTTGCTTTCCTCATTGTCGGCACTGTCATACAATTTTTGTTCTTTCACAAAACAGAAGAGATGTAAATATTGGGGATGCAGTTTTGTGAATTATATGGAGGTGACTAGGTCCATGATCTAATCTGTTAGCATAAAGTGTTCTTTTAAGCATCTGAACCTAGGAGTTATTTGTTTCATTCTGCTTCATTGAGAACTACTGTTAAGTGAGAGAGAATGCATTTAAAAATATTGCATTGCATTGTATCAAAAGATGTTCCTGAATCAGAGCTGAGATAGATTGACTAACATGTTTAGCTCCTGACAGTTTCATTATCAGCTAGTTTCATTATCTTCCACTTGATGTCAGTTTCCCAGGTGTAGCCCCAATTATTTCACACCTACCCATGTGTAAAGTAGACAAATGCCAGGTAGGACCAGATGTAAAATAATGTGAATGGGACTCTTGGAATATTTATACCTCATTGTTATACGTCAGGGTGTTTAAGTTAGCATGCATATTCATTGACTCACTAGTTTCATGCATAGTTCTTGTCGCATTCTCTGCCTGTTAGGGCTGGAATTAAATTTTCAGGACTTGACATTGGGTTTTATGCTCAACCGACTTGTAAGTTTTAAGTACCAATTTCTGTTAGAGACAGTATTCATACCGAAACACTGTTTGGTAAGTAATAGTTGCATCCATTTAACCTGAGTGTGTTATTTAATCAATATGAAGTAATGTACTGGAAAAAGTAAATGTGTCTCAGGAGGGTTGTTGCATTTACTTGAGTATCATTTGTTTAGCTGCATACAATGGAATTCTGATTATAGTGTTTCATTCTTCGGCCCATCAATAACATAAAGCGCAAGCTACATGTTAGAAATGTGGCTATGGTTATAGATTCATGTCTTTGTCAGAGTCATGGTTAAAGCTTTCACATGCTGTTTTTACACAAGTTCTGCCTGAACAATAGGGATAAAGTAGTCAAGCCTCATCAGACTTACTTGATTTTAAAGTGCAGTCAGTTGTTTAAGTTTTATTTGAATGTTATTGCAGTTGACCATTCATTTCTGATTCAGCCAATTCCATTTCTTGAGGCGTTGTGAAATGATGTAATTCATTTCAAATTTGGCATGTGAATTATTTAATAAAGTGCAGCTCACTCTTTAGGATGGAGAAATTCATAAAAACTCAAGTTCTTGATGATGTAATTGCTCTCCTCCTCGCTCCTGTAGGTCACCAGAGTTTAACAATGCAATCCTGCAGTGTCCATTCAAAGTCTTGTCCAGCGGTCTGCACATGTAGCAACAGTATCGTGGATTGTCGTGGCAAGGGTCTTACTGAGATATCGAGCAAGCTTCCAGAAAGCATCACGGAAATGTAAGCTGTTACTTTCTTTACATCCTTTGCGTTGTAATTGCCTTGCAATTATCAGATGCTCAGTTAGAGCAGCAGATGCTGTTGTTTGATTATCTGTGAAATTCAGATACATTCTGTTGCACAATGAAGTAGAAAGGCTCATTTTGCTCAACTTTATCAGAGGGATATGTGCTTATCTCAAAGCTGAATTGCTCACAGACATGAAAATAATGTTAACTTGTGAACAAATCCTTAAAGAGATATCTATTATATAAAATATGGCTTATGGATAAGTAGTTTTGATGACAACTTTTGGTCTTTACTTCCTGGGCGATAAATCAGGTAAAGTGAATTGCAATCAATACAATAAAAATCAGACAGATTATTTAGCAAGCAGAGAGGTGAATGTATTCCACTAGGTTACCGCTCAGGCAGTGAAGATAAAAATCTCCCCTTTCTAATACCTGTATCTTCTGTAGGTTACTTAATGATTGAAAATGTCAATGTTAAAGGCGTCACACAGTGAGCCACACAGTAGCTGGTATTTTAAATCAGTCTGATACTGCAGCATCTGACTGTAATCATTCATACTGCATTCTGACATATTTTTCAGCTTTTTTTTTATCATTCCTTAACTTCCACTATCAAAAAATAGTGTATGAAATTTTGACATTATTTCAGAGTATGCACCTGGCTGCTCCTCGGATTAAAAGTAACCCACATACGCTGGTAACAAAAGCAAAATGCTGCAAATGTTGAAGGTCTGAAATAAAAGCAAATTCAATGCATTTCTGCTGACAAAACTTGCAGCATAGCCTGCTATATATTTGAACTCCTAATACCCCAGCAAGATGTTGATGTCAGAACTCGACTGTCCTTGGGAGGGTGAGCCTAAGTCCACTGGTTGGAAACTGGGTAGTCATCCTTACGAACATTCCCTGAGCATCTCTGTTCCAGTGCTACATTAGTGTGGACTGTGGCTGTGCTTTCAGCTGGTGCTGGTCTATTTTTTAGAACTGTCCCACCTTCCAAACTTCAAGTTCTTTGCATCACAACCTCTGTTTCCTTTAGATGATCCTTAAAACTTAAGTTCCCTAACGAAACATCTGCCCATGTACCCAGTAATGCGGTTTGCTGTCAATTTTTGTTTGTTAATGAGAATGTGAAGCATCTTGGCATGTCTTACTATGTTAAAGGCACTATACAAGTGCAATTTTCTGTTATTACCTTTCTCCACCATTCAACAAAACACATGCTTTTGGAAAATTGACTGTTTTAATGAGATGACGAGAATTGCTTTCACACTGCCACCATCGATCTTCCCTCCTCTGCTCCACTTAGGGCCGAATGTGAGGATTACCCTGTCCCACCCCAGAAGCCTGATTCTGCTGAACTGCCTCAACCTGTAACTTTTGAGTTCTTGACTGCTTTGAGGCTGCCTGTCCATTCCTATCCGAGGGAGGGTCTCACCTCTGTGAGCTGCTGTCAATCTCTTGCCTGAGCAGCTCTCTTGTCCCAATCAGGAATGGTGGTCATTGCTAGGATGAAACAAAACTCCTGGAGAAGGGTTATGACATCAGTGAAACCCAGATGAAGGTGAGTCTGGATCTCGTCAGGGCCAGGCTGCAAAGTCCTAGAAAGGGAGATGGAGGGCTGAGGTCGGCATGGCAGGGGTGGAGGTGAAATGGGAGGGTGAGTAGAGAGTATAATGGTATTTCAATGGGCACCAAGAGCCTAAAAATGAGGCACACAAGGTTTCACATAACCACATGGCATCAGCCACCCCATCATGGTAAAATCCTGGTGGTAGCAGGAGGATTGATCAATGGGCAAGCAGTCTGCTTGATGCCTCTTCACTACTGGTAAAACTGCCATGGGACTTATGCCCAATTTTGTACCCTCCCCACCACCACACCCAGAGGGTACAAAGATCTTCCCGTAGTGGTATCACTCCAGCTTCAGCAGATTCTGTGGCTTCAGACGAAGACGACCTTTCTTAGGGGCTGATATTTCCAAAAATTATCTGTTTACACTTAGAGTTGCTACACGAATGTCTTGATGGTGACATGAATGATGTCTGCACAAAGAGAGGTTTCGTTGGAAGCTGTAGATTTTGTAATATGAACTAATGTAATCTCTCTTGCGTCAGGTGCGTAGTGTTCGCTGTTTTGTTCACGTTTCAATAATGGAATCTTCCAGTTATGTTGCTTGATTTACAGCATGCACTATTTCAGTTTTTAACACTCACGACCAGATTGCAAAGCCCTTGTGGTTTATGTTAGTGGTTGAGAAGAAAATGAGGACTAGCAGTTGGAGAGGTCAAGTAATTTAGCTTCGATAAATATGAGGAGACAAAACAAAAACAATGTTTCTATTGCTCTCTTCATCAAAACTAGGCATACCTCAGAATTTTACCTGGGGGATCAAAACAGAAAATAAATGATTAGGAAAATGTGATACGTGCGTTTGTTACCGATGGCCTCCTTTGAAAGAGCAGAGCCAAAAGCAAACAACTTGGCAGAAAGATAAAAGGCTTAAGAAGATCTTCTTTCACCGATACTCTGAGAGTTCCCTCCTCTTGCAGTTCTAAGTAGTGCATAAAGGATACCTGGTTGAAACTCTTCTCAGTTGTTCTCACTAAGCTTATGACTAATAAAGAAGTCAGTTGAATCGAGTCTATAATTCCATATAAATCACTTTGAAGAGTAAAGAAGTTCCCTGAATCCTCCCTGTCTCCCAATATTTCCTGCTTGGTGCCTCTTTGACCTTGTATAACCCCGTAGTAAACCTCAGTCAGATACAGTGACAGATACGGATACCTGTTATTTATTTGGTTCATGAATTGTTAAATAGTCCATTCAGAAAATGGACTTAAATGTTGAAATTATTTATTCTAGAGTTCAGAGGCTTTCACAGCCTGGCTCCAATAAATAAGGTTTAATAACCACCCACACCTCACACCCTGCACCCACATATCCATAACATACACATTTCAAATACCTCTTGGAATCTGTGCCTGCCATATCTGAGTGGTTCACCATGATGTGTATTATAAAGAGAGGCAATCATTGAGCCAATCTAACTTATCCAGACACAGTGACCCCAGCCCACCCCTAATAGCATCTCGAATGACTCTAGTGCTATCATTTCAGCTACCGAACCTCGAAGATAATTCCAGAATTTGATTACTTTGAGTGAAAAAGCACTTTCTTTATGTCAGTCTTGAATTTCCGTTTTACCAGTTCTATCTTTTGCTCCCTATATGGCAGTAAGGTCCTAACTTGCATAACTTGAAATAATGCACAGGGTTAACTTTTCTAATCCAGTTGGTATCTTATACTTTCACAAGGCATCTTCTATCATTTGCTTTATTTGAAGAAAGAACAGACTGCATTTTTCCAATCCTTCCCCTGAATTCATGTCTTGGGAACTGGCATTATTGTTCTCTGCAGTCCTTCCAGGACCTGGATGTTTTCCTATGTCTTGGTGACAGAACGGAATGCAGTATTGAGGGAGCAACCTGACCAGAGCACTATATAGCTTCAGCACCATGTTCTCAGCTTTATCTGCACATACTGTACAGATTCCTGCTCTGGGAACAAAATGTTTAACAGAAATTTGAGTATGAATGTCATCCGCGAAATCATGGAATTTTCCATCCAGTCAAACTCTTGCATCTGAATTCCTATTAGATGCGCATAGTAATAAGTGGTAAGAGTGTATATATGTACAATCTGGCACGATAGCTCTTTATTCTGATTTGTGCTTTATCATGACTTGGTGTGACCAGCTGTGAAACCACATTTCACATTTCTTTCGGCATCTTCCCTCATGGGTTAATTTCTCCTATCGAGTAGCAGAGAGGGTAAAGCACTGATAATGTTACACTGTCCAAACTAATGTTAGAAATATAAAAGTATTTTCTTGAGGAATCCAGTACTGACATTGTTAAATACCTGTGTCAAGCCAAACTGATAGCTTGATTTTGCTAATGAGCTTGGTGGTGCTGAAGTCGTTAAACAATGTAGGACTATGACCATCAGTTTGGGGGTAAAATGTTATGTTCAGATCAAGGTAAGTCATTTGACCTAACTCTTATTGCTTATATAATTATCTGAACCTTATTCTTCAAACTTGCGCGCTAGTTTAAATTTCTGTTTATCTGGGCATGAGATGCATTCATATCTTTACCAATTAAGTGGTAATCTAATGGCTCAGATTACTCGCCTATTTTAAATCCTCATTTCACTGAAATCAGTGGAGTAAAAATCAAATGCTTTCTACAAGAGAATAGTCATCAGATTATGGCTGTTGTTTTGAAGTCAGGGATTTGTCGCAATGTCTCTCATTCAAGGGTCCTTTCTGATACGTCTGGACGTTCCTGGTATCAATCACTGGTTTGCTTGTATGTTCCTCTGTTCTAAGAAAATCATTGTGTGCTGCTTCTACAGTAAGAGATTACACCTCTATGTCAGGAAGCTGTACTTTCAGCCCAGAGGCTATAATAAATTCCCACTGCCATTTAACAATCTGCCTTCACTTTGCTCACACATGCTTTTGCAATTTGCTGTGTGGAATAGCTGGCAGAATGTGAACGAGTTGTTAGCTTGCAGCATAACATGTACTGATGTTGGTCATGCACAAGTCTAAAATTGACACTGTACTTAATCTATTGTATGGGACTCTTAGATTCAAAGCATGGAAAGGTCCAAGTTTAGACATGACATGATTCGTAAAATTTACCAAAATGATAAAACAAATCTGTGTGGTAAGCATTCACAGATAATAAATATTCTGCATTTTCTGTATTTGCAGTGAGCAGTATATGACCATAATATGAATGTTTTACTGTGCTGCGCTATCAAATACAAACACTCTCTCCTTTCTGATGTAATTCCAATGTTGACATAGTAAAGAAAGCTTACTTTTAGTGGAGCCTGATGCTGTCTGAAAATCCATTGTGAACATGACTTATAACATCAAACCCAATCTTGATCTGAGTTTACTTCATTCCAATTGAC